ACAGCATATGGGTAATAATGAACCTTTTATTGTTTAAATAATAAATTATTTTTACTAAAACTTGCTCGTCATTGATTACTAGTTCAAATCTAAATATGCCAAGAAATCAAATTAAATTCTTTATATTCTTATCAATATTTTAAAATATAATTATATTTAATGTAGAATTATAATTTTTTATTTTATCAGAATTGGAATTCTTATTTCTACTATATTATATATTTAGAATTTCTTATTTTATCAAATTAAATCTTAATTTTACCATTTTATATATATTTATTTAGTATATAATATAATATCTTATATTTATGTAATAATAATTTAAATTTAAAATAGAAAATTTAACATAACACATTCAAATTACCATTATTTTTCACTAAAAAAAATTAAGAATTCCCCGTGATATTTAATTATTTTTCAACTAATAAAATTAAAATTCCCAGTGATATTTTATCAATCCATAAATTAGTAGGGACGTTTTTGGGATCTCAATGTTCTACTTTTACTTTGATTGGCTAAAAAATAAAAATAAAAAATTATTATTTTTAAGAAATCTTTAATTTGATTGAATATATTGTTTCCTATTTAAATCCAAAATCATATTCTATTAAAAATAAATTTTAGAAAAAATATTTAAGAAATTTAAAATTTTTTTGAATGTGGTAATATTATAATAAATATTATTAAGAGTATATATTCGTTTTCATAATTTCAATTTGTGAGATGGTACAATAAAATTGTTTATGATGGTACAATTTAAAACGTCTCTCCAACTTATAAATAGAAACAACCTGTCCGTACGCTCTTTATTAAATTAGATTCTTTATTAAAGGGTCAACAATTAGATTCTTTATTAAATCACTTTACTAAATGTCAAAATATTGAAATTTATTGCTGCCTATATATTGAGATTTTGTTCTCAGATCTAGTTTTGATTTATTGTTATCACCATTATGGTGATTTTGTCATTAGCGTCTTTTATTATTTGGATAGTTATGCAGAAAGAAGTGCAGATCTTATCTCCAATAGAATGAATAAATTTGAAAATAATCAGATCGGACTTATAGAAAGACATGGAGTAAACAGTAACCATGAATAGCTACTAAGTAAAGCAAGCGATCGCCTATGGTACAAATATTATGCTCTGTCAACTCGATTAGAACTTCAAATCAAAATTGTGTTTTTTTCTTTATTCTTTGTATAAGTAGTTTATTATTAGACTTCTTATACAAAAATATATAAATATATTGATCTGTATCCCATATCTGTATATAATTTCTAACTAATAAAATTTCTAATTTAATTTTTCTCAATAAAAAAATCACTTTACAAAAACAATTTAAACATTGATAATGGTATCCATAGTCAATAAAAATACAATAGAAAAAATCACTTTACAAAAACAATTTAAAATTGATGGATATCCCATAGTCCCAATAAAAATACAATAGGATAATATAGTATATATATATATATAGATTATTATATATATATAATATATACTATATATATACTATATATAATAAATGTGTGTGTGTGTGTGTGTTGTGTGACATCCCAGGTTTGGGGCACAACACCTTAAAGGCTCGAATCCCAATTGGCTACGCATAAGGGTGGAAGTGATTGTAAACATGAAGGGTGACACGCCTTGAACTAGTGTGAAACGCGTTTTGGCCTATGCAGAAACGTGGTTCCGCTGGCCCAGGGAACAAAACCAGTGCGGGTCCGGGGTTAGGCAAAAGCGGATACTAGTGTGACGCGTTTTGGGCTATCAGACGTGGTTTCGCTGGCCCAGGAACAAAACCGTGCGGGCCGGGTTAGGCCAAAAGCGGACAATATCACACTAAGGCTGGGTTGTTACAATATATATAGTCAATATTTGATGAATCGAATTCCCAATTTATGACAAAAAAAATAAAATAATTTTAAATATATTTAAGGTCTAATTAGATCATCAAAAAAATAAAATAAAATAACTTCATTAACACCATAGAATTATTTATAAAAAGTACAAAAGGTTACCTTTTAAACTTGAACAAATTAAAATACTCCAATCTGAAAAAATAGGTAGAGAAATAGAATGAGAATAAACAGGCAATTACCAGAGTTATTCTTATTGATCCCATGTGTACGTGCATATATATATATATATATGCACATGGGTGGTAGCCTAATTAGGAGAACAAGGCTTATACACTAAATAGGAATAAACTTGTATGCTAATTAGGAATAAAGGTTATTATCGTTTTTTTCATTCACATCGACAGAAAATAGAAAACTTTTTGGATGGAAAGACTTTAATATCTGACGGTAGTATATGACGGTAGCATAATCTGGGTCCTTCAAAATAATTTCTCAAATGTTGAGGGACCTAAGTGTTAATTTCACTATTATTTAGAAACCCAAAAATATTTAACGCTTAATTTTATTGGTGGTTAAAATGTAAATCCTTTCATTCTTATTTGAATACATATAATATATATAATACTATAGTATTTTTTTCCCAAAAAAGTAAAGTGCTACTATGTCTCACATCCTAAATTTATATCTTCCTATCTATGGACGCCAAAGGCAAAAATACTCTACGATTGGGGCTAAGATTTCAAAGTATTTAGAATAAGATTTAATTTGCCTGAACTTGGGCATATTAGTAATTTCTGACCAATTAATTAACAAATTGTATTAACCTCCGAGCATGTTTCAATAATATTATTAATTGTTCTATAACTAATTACCAAATAACTGAACATTTTATAAATAAAATTTGTTTTGCCAAGTTAAATACGGCTATTCTCATTTGATAGTTTCTAAACTTCTAATCATTAAGAAACTTCTCATTACGCCTTTACTACTTCATTCTTGCTTCGGATATAAACCTCATTTATTTATGCATTTGTTAAAAATTCTATACTAGCCACCAAGAACCAATCTCGTCAAGGCTTCACCCCTTAGAAATCCTAAATTCTAACTTAAACTCGTAGCCTAGCATGTATAATATCTATATCTTACTTACTTGTGTAAGCCTTAGATTATAACTCCCCCTAACATTATTTTTTAAAATTCTTAAGTTCACGTACATAATTATTAGCTAAGAATTCTTATTTCAACATCAAATCTTCTAATTATAATTAATATTCTTGAAATATATTTAGCAATATTCAAATTTTTAATTTGCATCTTACAATATGCCACTAACTAATTCCTAGCAAGAATTATGTCTAATTAATTGTTTATTCGAATTCAATTTAATCAACTATAAATTTTAAATTTGAAATTTATACTAAAATTGGGAAAATAGGTGTTAGGGCGTACTGACCGAATTTCGGATGACGATTCCAAAATCCACACGAGGAGAGGAAGATTCTATCTCTTGGTGCCTTGCCGGAGGCTCGCCGGTTGGTCGCTAGACCACAGCCGTCGCCGCCGTGTACTGTGGCCAAAAATCGCAATTTTTTACTTTTCGAATTACTGAATTATCTTAGAATCAATGATCAATCAAGAGAAATCATATTAAGAATTGCCTTTGACCGAATCTTTTTCACATTGATCTAAACCTATCATTTTTATTGCACTCTTTATTTATTTTAATTGTTTTGCAGTTAATTTATTCTCTTTTGATAACCACATCCTTTCTTTTATTTTTATTGTTGATTTTCTTATCTTCAAATGTTAGAATTAGTCTCTAGGGTTCGACCATTCTCACCCTATCTATAAATTATTTAAATTAGAAAGAGTAGAAATTATTTTTAGTGGCTTTGACAACCGTTATAATGTGAAAATTGAGGCTTCTCAACTAAGTATATAGAGGAAATTGATACAAAATTAATTGTTTTGGCAATTTTAAATATTTGGCCCAAGTCCTATGAGCATATTTTTCTCTTTTTATTTAGAATTAGTTAAATGCTCTTAGCTTTTTCAGTAGACATACACGAAGTGCTGTGAGTTGAGGAGTAATTCGAGAAATAATTATTCAATTGAATGATATTTTTAATTATAAATTTATCCTCATTCACAATTCGGATTCTCACGCTATCACGTTACAAATTTATTAATAAATTTATTAATTGAAAAAAAAAATATGATCAAAGTTCGGGTTAAGATAAATTCATATCGAGTTAATATATCGTAAAATCTCTAAAACATGTCTACTTTATATATAAAAAAGAAAAAAAATTAATTGGATCAAGTTCAGATGAGTTGTCCGATAGTAGATATTTCTATCCATTTCATTTATAAATGAAGTTTTATCTAATAAATTTGGATCGAGCTGAATCGAAATAAGCATCCTAGATTGAACCCTGACATCACTTATATTTACTATTTTTTTCATGAGAAATGTATTTTCAATATTTAACACATCATTTTTTATAACAATAATGAAACTATAGCATATCATTTTTTATAACAATAATGAAACTATAGCATACGCTATTAAAAATTTTACTTATAAAATAAATTTCTATATTTAAATTAAATATAAAATTTTAATTCGCATACGCTATGAAAAAATTTTACTTATAAAATAAATTTTTCTATATTTAAATTTAAATATTAAATTTTAATTCTTATTAAATTTGATAAATGTAATAAGAAATTTTTAAACTTAAAAAATCTTAATTAAACTTTTTTTAATTTTGCGAGACTGATTATTAAGTCGAATTTATTAACCAGTTGCCGACCATTTAACCGACATTATGATTGGGTCAAAATTGAACCAGATTGGACCTGATTTCAACCAATTTTCTATTTTTTTTAATTGACTGATTCAACCAAATTTTCTATTTTTTTAATATTTACGTTTTTAATATATATACATATATTCTTTTAAGTGCAACAAAAATTATTTTTACATAGTTAACTTATATAATATATCATTCTCATTAAATATTTATCTTGTATAACAATATAATATATATAAATACAAAATAAATATATATAAGTTTTTTTCCTAGAGCTGTTATTAATAAAATAAAAATTTGCTGATAAAAAAAATACAAAAATTTTAACTAATAATTATTAAACTTACAATAATTCAACACTCATAAATCTAATTACATTGTTCAATAAAAATAGCTCAAATTTAAGTTCCTCAAACACACAAATTAATTTCTTCAAACACACAAATAATACCAAACACAGTATATATATATATTTTAAAAGAAACCCACTTTTTCTGATTTATATCAACGGTTCAACTCGGTTCTTTCAAAAACCCAGTTTTTTTTTTTTTGGAAACCAAACTAGCTTTATAATTGAATAGAATAGCCAGCCGATTTCTAATTTAACCGGTCTAGTCAGCTGATCCAGTCCGATTCTAAACATACTGATTTATTGCAAACTAAAGAATCAGTACATCGGAGGTAGATAAATTTTCTTATGCACTCTTGAACAACACATCAGCTCCGTCCTTTATCAACATCCACGCGGCAACCACGTGCCGTTCCTCAGTAAGTGTAGCCCCCACTGCAAATCTCAATACCGTTCCTCAGTAAGTGTAGCCCCCACTGCAAATCTCAATACGTACTCTCCTCCTACTTTTGTATGCGTCATATAAATTCGACCTGTCGAGTTCACCCACTCTAGAAGCTTCCGGTTCAGAATCTCGGAGTTACCCAATCCGTCCAACTTGTTTGGCCATACCAACCGGAAGCACACAAGCGCAAATCTTCTCGGCACCACAATTTCGAACCGCGAGTCGGATCTTACAAACCCTTCAAACACTTTAGCCATCTGGATGTCGGATCTAATGTGACTTTGGAGATTAGAGATGCCGTAGCTACGCAGTATCATCCATAAACGGAGCGACTTGAATCTCCGACCTGTACCCACTTGCCAGTCTTTAAAATCGACGACCGAGTTCGACTCGCTTTCCTTGTTCTTCAAGTACTCAGGGTTTGTGCTCAATGCCTTTATCAATAGGCTCGGGTTTTTCTTTATCAATAGGCTCGGGTTTTTCACCCACAAGCAACAGCAATCCATATAACTCAGGAGCCACTTGTGTGGACTAAGACTCAGTGAGTCAACTCGTTCTACCCCATTTAAGTAATCCCTGAACTCCGGGCATATGCATGCGCTGCCACCATAAGCAGCATCTACATGCATCCACAAGCCGTAATCATTTGCCACCTCAGCAAGAGGCTCAATGGGATCAATGGCTGTAGTTGAAGTTGTCCCCACAGTAACACAAAGGTAAAGTGGGACCAAACCAGACAACATGTCAGCTTCTATCGCAGTGCGGAGAGTGACAGGAGATAGAGAAAATCCAGTATCCAGTGAGGTGGGTAATAATCTTATGTTGGAGGGATGTATCCCAACTAATTTGCATGCCTTTTGAAACGTTGAATGAGTTTGATCAGAGCCGTAAACCACGAGATTGGACAAATGGTTGGCCTCCGTTTTGGAGAGAACTCTGTCTCTTGCTGCACAAAGTGTTACAAGAATTGCTTCACTACTTGTATTTTGAATCACGCCTCCACCGGAACCTGCAAAGGATATACATGCATTTATCGTTTCCGTTTTGTTCTACCAGGAACGAGTTCTGCTGGGACAAACTTAAAATCTTTGCTTGGAAAAGTTAGAAAAGAATAGGTGAAAGCGAAATGTTCGTTCAGGTACGTTTTTACCCATATTAGTACATATACATTGTACTGTGACAAACTCAAAATGTTTGTCCTGGTACGTTTTTACTTCTTTTGTGCCGGTTTTGATTTATCCACTCACCAAAAGATGTTTTTGTTGCTTTTACAATGTAAGATTTTTCATGGTTGTAACTTTTAAGCAACATATGGAAAAAACTGCATTATTTCAGTGTGACCCTCATAGATTTCCTTGGAAAAATCCTTTCGATACATACTTCAAAAAAAGCATATTCAAAAAATAAAAAAAAAAGAAAAAAAAATTACACCTTTCAATGTGCATATATATATATATATATATATATAATATTTATCCTAGACCTGATTTATGGCTCCACTCATAACCAAACAAATGAAATCAGAATTTTTAAAAAAGTATTCGGATTCTTTTTTTTTTCAAATATATGGTCGGAAATAATTTCATTTCAATAAAAATATTAAATTTCAACTTAGTTTGTTTCGTGTCTCTGAGATATAGATAGAATGTAAATAAGGTTTTCCATATAAATATATATATATATATATATATCTATATATTATTTTTAAAAAATAAATGTTTTAGGTATATTAAAAAATAAATGTTTAGGAAAATCGTTTTCCCTTGTTTTCCGAATTCTATGATGTCAAACTCATAGTCAACGCTAGAATAAGACTTGCCTAAGTGTAATAGGACTAATTACACACTAGGCTTATCTGTGGAAGGTTTCATTGAAGTCTTAGTAGTTCCACCCATACACTAAACCATTTAAAAATAAATTTTTACTTAAACAAGAGCATTCATTACCATTGACCGGGGCAAAATATAAATAAGATAGGTAGTAATAATATTTTTCAAAAATTATTTCTGATTATCTTGGTATATAAATGTTCACATACAACACATACATGTAAGTCTTATCTTTTTTAAATATTAAATTAAATTAATTTTATTTTGTTAGTGAATAGTCACAAATACATTTAATATATTTAAAAAATTCCATTTTTAATTTAGGGATATTTTATTTATAACCTTTCTCAAGTGACTTAACTGCAATAACTTTCCACCATTATTGTAACAGTCTGATTTTCTTTTAGTGTCAGTAATAGTGATTAACCGGTCTGTGAATATTACCATCGGTCCGGGACTTGATATTATTTTAGTCCGAAAAAATTACTATACCTATTTAATATTTTATAGCTTGAATATTATTTTAGTCGAAAAAATTACTATACTATTTTAATATTTATTTACTATATTTTGGAGCAATGTTTTGCATGATTTTAAGGCGGTAGAAAATATTTTCATGAATATTATTGGCGAGTTTATGTCTTAACAAGCATATATTTCTAGTATGGTATATTTAAGAACTAAATGAGGAATTATTTTAGTGGAGTTTCAATTTCAATTAATTGGTGGAGTTAAATACAGAGTAGAGAGAATTATTTGAGGAACATTTTAGAGCATTGGATGAGATACTTAGAACTTGAATCCTTTAAGCCACAACATTTGGCAATGATTTAGGAGTCAAATTTGACTATTTGGCACCTTTTAAAGTAACATCACAACACTTTTTCTTCTTCTCTTCTCCTTCTCCACGTGATTTTTTTGTGTTTCTTTTATTTCCATCTTCTTTCTCTTGCTTTCTATTTTTCTTTCATTTTCTTACCTCATTCAGATGGGCTCCTTCGAAGCACTTATATGGCAGGATGATGTTAGGACTCCACTATGTTGGTCAGAGTTTGAGTGAGGGCAAGATTATAGGTCCAGAGTTGAATCGAGAGCATAGAGGATAAGGTCAGAATATCAAAGATAGTTGAAAGCAGCTTCAGATCGTCAAAAGTCCTAATGCCTTGATGTGAGAGGAGGGATATAGAGTATGCATTGGGAGATAAGGTTTTCCTTAAGGTATCTTCCTGTGGAAAAAGATAATTGAGATTTGGAAGGAAAGGGTAAGCTAGTCCTAGGGTTCATTGTCATATGAGATCAGTTGAGCATGTGGTCATTAGCCTATAGACTTAGCTTTACCACCAGACCTGGAATAGGAAACATAAATGTTTTTTCCACATGTCTATGTTTGAGGAGGTATCTTGGTCCGACCAATCACATGTGATACCAGTGGAATCTGTGAGCTGACTATAGAGCCAGATTTAACTTATGAGGAAGAACCAGTGAGGATACTTGCTAGGGAAATCAAGGAACTAAGGAATAAGAGAAATCCTTTGGTAAAGGTCCTTTGGAGAAACCATAAGACCGAGGAAACAACATGGGAAAGTGAAGATATTGATAGACACTTAGAAGTGCTTGTGGTATGTTGTGTTGAATTGGAGTTTTGGGGTTTTGGAGAAAATTGGAAGTGTGTATATTTTCTTTATGTGACAAGTTCATTTTTAGGGAAAACCCTTGCGAAATTTTCGTAGGAATTTCCTTCAATATTTTTTGTTTAATTTTTAGACAATGTTACTTACTTGCCTCCTTATGAAAATCTAACCACTTCTAATTTGTGATCTTAGTTACACACCAAACTAATTATATGGGCACCAAATAATTATAAACAGTATTTTGGTTTAAATAACAACACGTATTAACATTTCATTAGGAAAAAGACAAAATAATAAAAATTTTTAAATAAATGTTTTTTTTCAATTGATTTAATGTATAGAACTATCCATATATACATTCAGTATAAGCAAGAAATTTCCGATGAATAGCTAGCTATCACATGCATTATTTAAACGCATTATTTAAACATAAAAAGAAGTGCCGGAAAAATAAAAAAGATACCTGAGAACATGAAGCTTTTTGGTAGGTTAAGCATATGTCCAAGCCAATCCATAACAATCATTTCTAGCTCAGTGGAAGCCGGCGAAGCAAGCCAGTTGAATCCAACAGAGTTAAAGCAAGTGCACAGCATTTCTCCAAGAAAAGCTGCACTGCTTACTGTAGCAGGAAAGAATGCGAAGAAATTTGGACTAAGCCAATGAGTCATTCCAGGGACTATGAGCTTTTCAACATCACTGAGAATGGTATCGAAGGACTCGGGACGATAAGGTGCAGTTTCAGGCAAGCGAGTATGGAGGTAGCCAGGGCGGACTTGGGTAAGTACTGGGTAGGTTTCGATATTTTGATAGTAATCTGCAATGAAATCTACCATTTGATGGGCTTGTTTGCGAAATTCTTGAGGGTCTAGGGGCTTGAATTGGCTGGTCTGCAATGAAATCTACCATTTGATGGGCTTGTTTGCGAAATTCTTGAGGGTCTAGGGGCTTGAATTGGCTGGGTTCGGTTAAATTAGAGTCTAGACTACCCATTTGTGATCGAGTTAGGTGGGAGTGCAGAGAGCAGCCAGCTGCTGCAGATGCGTTGTAGAGTAATGTTGGTGCTTAGGTGGTGCCTTTTATAGAAGTGACATGTGTGACAAACAGCTGAATAGGGATTCGCCAACTAGTCTGACAAAGAAAAAAAAAAAAAAGAAAGGGAAAATATTATTTAGTCCACCTAATTAATCGCCTCACCGCTCAATTTTGATAAACCCTCCTCCAGTTTTGCTTCCTCGTGTTAAAAATAGGATTTCTCGCAGGCAAAAAGACTAAAATGCCCTCTTTAATAAGTAAAGGCCAAAATATTTAAAAAAGCCAAATCATATTTCTTGCCTCCTTCCATCTCTCGTCACTCTTTCCATCCCTCTTGTTGTCTGTCTCTCTCGTATTATATATACATCCCATTTGAAAATTCCAGTAAATCAATAAATGACCAGAATAATTCAAGAGCCAAAACAAGACTCAAAGCAAATCAAGATAGGAGATTGATGTTAAACAACTGATAATTGACTGAATTTTCATGCTAATTAATATTTAATAAATAGTATAAAGAATTAAAAGGTTTTACGTTTAGGTTTTCATATTGATAATTGTATTAAGATCTCATTGTTTATAGGTAATTCTCAATTGTAGTTTACAAAAATTTATTTATTTTTATCAAATATAAACATCAATTGTAACAAGACTACGTATGTCGTAGTATAAAAATGTATAAATTATTGATTTTTTCTTTCTTTGAAATGTATGAATGATTTTTTCTATCCATTGACATTGACAGGTCTTACAAATCATAATAATATTATCATATTTTTTTATACCATGTGCTAAACAACACGACAATAGTCCAATCTATCTACTAAGAAATTAGGTTTGCAATAAACGTAAGTAACCTTGCAAGACCAACAGCTAGAGAGCGAAGGCCGAAGAACAGCACTAGAAATTAGATAGAACAGGTGAGTTTGGATCTTTTATGCAAAATTAGTTAGTTTAGTAGCAGTTTAATTAGCGTTTTATCAAAAGTTAAAGAGAATAAGGTTTTATAGTCTACATTAATATTTTGACTTAGTTAAACGCTAAATGCTACATCAAAAGTTGTTTTTGAATGGAGTTTTTGATTTTTATAAGAGTAAGAGTACAAATTTGATCTCCAAGAAAAACAGTTATCAGAATTTATAACTCTTGATTATATATATTTATATATTGGATAAATAAGAAATTGTGCGGGTGCTATGTTTAGATTTTAATCCTCTAATCACGTAGGGAACACGCATACCATATTTTAGTCCTCCGAATAGTGTCGTCTATATCACTATAAAAGAAGGCGTTGAATATGTCAAATAGCTATTATCACGTTATCAATGTGAACATAAGACATACCTAGTTGAGGTACATTTGGTTGCTATGTCTATGTCTGTATGTATAAATTTGATTTTGTCTTCTTTTTATTGAAAAATTAATTTATAGTATATAAGTAGAAAAAGAAAGCTGCAACGTTATAATATCAGTTTGGAGTTTCTGAAATTTTGTTTGTACAATATCAACAAATTGTTTAATTTGTCTTTAACAATTGCCACATGACTGTTGATTGTTAATTCATTTGTTTAGTAGATAATACCATTATTAATATTTAGCAATGAATCGGTACATTTAGTCTAATTTTATTATTTTATCAATTTCCAATTGAAAAGTGTATTTTAAATACTCAAATGCAGAATACGGAGGACATGTAAAATTAATGAATGAGTATTTTATCTCATTATCTGTAATGTACACTGATACATAAAAATGAAAATGGTGCGATATTTTAAGATATCTACTCTGTTCTGATTTGTTTAAAGAAGATATGACTATAGATTTTAATTTGGATATCTTATATCCATTACCTTCTATAATTAATGATGAAATGAATGACATTTTAGAGAGAAATTTAATTTAACTAACTTTTTTAGTCTAAAAATTTTTTTTGTTTTCTCTAAATAAAGAGAACAAAAGGAGTAATAAAACTCATTACGAAGAGTAAACAAGTGTATACGAAAACAAAATAAGAACAATTTACCACGCTGTGATACGAAAACAACAACAAGAAAAAAACAAGAAGAATCATGCATTCGATGGTGCAGATTAAATCAACCTTTATAAACTAGCATCCCTATTGTTGTTTCTAGAATCCACTTATGTCATAACAGAAGTTTGATTTTAATTAAATAAGTAGATGCGGAGATAAGAGGGAACAATTTTAAAGGGGAATAAATGGGCTAAGTTTGGATTTCTTTTTCTATATAAAATTTTAATTTTTCCATTTTGAACAAATAAACGTAAATATGCAAGGCTGCAAATAGACTTATATCGTACGTTGTAAAGCATCATACCCATATGAACTAATTTTATAACCTTTGACTTATTATTTTTCTATTCAATTTCGATCTCAATTCCTTTATCCTCCAATTTATAATGCCCCTAATCTCACAACATGAATTGTATGATTTAAATTCAGATTATTCGCATATAATAATTTCTTGATTTATATTTTTTTTACTTTTTCATTTTAATTTTTTAGGAATTATATATTTAAATTACTTTGAAATTTAATTTTTTAATGAGTAAATTTGACAAGTGTGATAAACTACAACTTAATTATTTGAAAAACACAGTATTTCAATAGCTCACGGAATTGCGGTGGACGACCAACTTAAAAAATATTAGAGCTAAGGACAATTTTATTGTCTAAAATGTTGTGGGGTCCCCCCGACATGTGGGACCCACACATTTGAAAAAAAAAAAAGAAAACAAAGGGAAAACATTTTTTTTTTCTTTGATAAAGAAAAATTAAACAAGGCTGCGCCAAGAATTGAAAATGTATGCTTGCGCGTTAATCGGTGGACGCGTTGATTACACATCCTCTTCTCTTATAAATAGGAGAAGTGTGACTCAACCAAATGTGTACAAACAAAAGAAGAAGTCTACACAGTTAAGAGTAGAAAATTTTAGGAAATGGTTCCTAAAATTGAGAAAGAGAGAAAATAGTGAAGATTATAATTTTCTGGGGTGTTTTTTGGAAAACATTTAGAGTGCCACTATTTTTATAATCTCTTTTGTACCTACTATTTTATAGTAGAAGAATTATTTGGATTTTGTCTCGTGGACGTAGCCCATAACAGTTGAAGGGTGAACCACGTAAATCTCGGTGTCTCTATTTTTATTCTGGCATTTACGGTAATTATTTAATTTTTACCGTAATTATCTTAATTTTTACCGTTTGATTCATTATTTTATAGTTTGGAACTGATCGTTATATCAATTACGTGAATATAATTGGAATTAAATGCCGGGTAATAAGTAATTTAAATTCTTTATTTGGCGCTTATTAACTTTTAATCGTCGGTAATTTTATTATTTCTACAGCGGCAATTTTTCCGCGGGCCCATCAAGTTTTATAACTTCCAACATAAAATCAAATTGCTCATTATTTTTATTGAAAACAAAAATAAATTTAGCTTTTAATATTTGAATAATATATAATAAAAACTGCCAAGTCAGGTAGCTTGGTTCCGGCCGAGTTGAGGCTTTCCATCTATTTAATTAAATATCATTCTATATAAATTTAAATTATAATAAAAATATCTTTTATTTTAAATTAATAAAATTATTTTATACCATTTCCAAACACTTTTTAAAAATTTGAACACTATCATTTTCAAAAAAAAAAAAAAAAGAAAAAAAAATCTGGAAAACCTATCAAAAAAAAAAAAAAAAAAAGAAAAAAAATTGAAACCTATCTTTTCAAATATCCACAATTTTCTTTTGGACTTTTCTTGACACTGGAAAATTAAGAGAAATCTCACTCATTAAACCACTTTTTGAGTATTCTAGTATTATAGAAAAAGGGCAATGCAATTTATTTCCTCTCATCCAAGCAAAATTTGTAGTACTCCCTTCGGGTTATTGACTTTATTTTTATTTTTATTTCTTTCCTCTATCTAATGTGTGAACCAAATCCACTTTCAAGAAAAGACACAATAAGTTTCTTTACAAAACAAGACAAATAGTAGATAACAATGGAAGGCAAAAGCTCAGAATGAATGAAAGAGTCAAAAATGGAAGCTCATTTTGAAGACTGTATTATCTTGGAAAAATCCGCCATTTTCACTTTCATGGAAGGTGGTTTGGTTACAGCTTAGGATAATAAATCTGTATTCCTTTTCATGAAAATTACAAGACATTTTCATTTAATTTCACATTTGCACCTTTCTATCTTTAGAGAATACTATTAGTATTTGAGAGAGATATATTTTAGAAGAGGAATAATTATCCTTAACTTATATAGAAAAAATTAAAAATGTGTGGACCAATTTGAGTAGAGTAGGTTTATTAATCATTAAATAATTAAAAATGAGGGCGGCTATTCATGAATAAATTGCGGTCGAGATTTTGGTCAGAACTGTCAATTCCTTTTGATTTTGTTATGCATGCCATGCTTTTCTTTTCTCTCTCTCTCTCTCTCTCCCCGTTTCTTTTTCTCATTTATGGATTTAGAATGGTAGTATTGAAATAAATTCCTCCAAACACAGCAATTTTAAATATTACGTTCTAAGTTTGTGAAGGATATAAGAGGAAAGAAAATTAAGAAAGAAAACAATACAACTGATGGTACTCTTGATAAGATAATTTACTTTCTGTTTTTATACAGATTAAAAAAAGAAAAATTACTATAGTACGTGATTTTATTATCATAACTTTTTATTATGAATATCTCAACATGAATAATTATTATATTGAAATAATAAGAATTATATTGATAATATAATTTGGAAAATATAAATTACAATTAATGAGAGTAAAAGACATTGATGATTTTTCAAAATTTAAGGGGAAAAAAAAAGTAGAAGAATAAGATTACAAAAAAACATATTAGCGAAGTAAAACTGATTTAAAAAACTAATGAATTAATCATTCTAAAATAAATAATAAATTAATGAGAATTATTAAAAATAAGATAAAATTTAATAAGGACATAACGATCAATTTAAACATTTAAATATCAAGAGTAAAAATTCTTTTATATATTTTTTCTTATTTTCCTTTAATATTTTACATTTTAAATATCAAGAGTAAAAAATTTCTTTTATATTTTTATCATTATTTCCTTTATATTTTTAAAAGGCCAGGACAAAGAAACCGAAACCTTTGGTGTATCCTATCATACATACATAAAATATAAAAGTTAATGTTATGAGAAATTTAAAAATGTTTCCATGAGCAACTAAATTGTAGACCGAACCTTTGGTTATCCATATCATACATAATAAATATAAAAGTAATGTTATGAGAATTTAAAATGTTTGCCATGAGAATAATTGTGTGAAAAGAAAAAAAATACGAATCAAAAACTCTTTTGAGTTATGAGAGCTCTGATACATAATAAATATAAAAGTGAAGAATGAATATTGTCTCTATTATTCCCGGTAAACAAGCGTTTAAATACAAAGAGAATAAACTGAATTCCTTAGCAGTAGGAATCAGTAACAAACTAATCCTATCATAACAACTCAATCTCAACATAATCAAAAACAAATAATACAAAGTCAAAGACATGGGAAGCAGTACAGATATACTGCTAATAATACACAACTTACCGGATTAACTTAATATACGACTGCAATTTCAGACATATATCTTATAAGAAAGCCAATGTACATGTTCTATAAATACATTATAGCTCTGTAAGGACTAGCATGCCAAACATACACATATATACTCTCCAGTCTTTATTACCTCCTTCCATAAAGCAGAATGGCTTCAGTTCTTGAAAACAAACTAATATTTGTGACAGTGTTGGTGTTGGGTCTTTTTGCATCTCAAGCCTTTACACGTTCTCTACAAGATGAAACCATGAAGGAGAGGCATGAAATGTGGATGGCTAAATATGGACGTGTTTATAAAGACAAGGCAGAGAAGGAGACACGCTTTAATATATTCAAGAATAATGTGCAGTTTATTGAATCTTTCAATAGGGCTCCTAATAAGCCTTACAAGCTAGATATCAATGGATTTGGAGACTTAACTAATGAAGAATTTAAGGCCTCTGGAAATGGATACAAGAGAACTTCTCTTCCTAAGGCATCTGAGACGCTGTCGTTTAAGTATGAAAATGTCACTGCTGTCCCAACTTCCATGGACTGGAGGAACAAAGGAGCTGTTACTCCTATCAAGGACCAAGGCCAATGTGGTAAAATTTAACTATTGTTTATTTGCTTCTTCTTCTTTCACTACGCACTAGCTGTAACAAAATTAATCTAATATTTTTATTTCTTTTTCTGGTTTACTAAGTTATTTAATCTTGTACTACCCATGAATTACACATAAATGTAGGATGTTGCTGGGCATTTTCTGCTGTGGCTGCCATGGAAGGAATTACAAAGCTCTCAACAGGAAAACTGATATCTCTTTCAGAACAAGAACTAGTTGATTGTGATACAAGTGGAGAAGATCAAGGCTGCGAAGGAGGTTTTATGGATGATGCATTTGGATTCATAAAAAAGAATGGAGGACTAACAACTGAAGCCAATTACCCTTACCAAGGAACTGATGATACTTGCAATACAAAAAAGGCAGCTGATAAAGCAGCGAAGATTACTGGCTACGAAGATGTGGCTGCTAACAGCGAACAGGCCTTATTGAAGGCAGTAGCGAACCAACCAGTCTCTGTAGCCATTGATGCAAGTGGCTCTGCGTTCCAGTTCTACTCAGGTGGAGTATTTACAGGAGATTGTGGAACGGAACTAGACCATGGAGTTTCTGCAGTTGGGTATGGAACAAGTGACGATGGTACTAAGTACTGGTTAGTGAAGAACTCATGGGGAACTTCTTGGGGTGAAAATGGATACATTAGAATGGAAAGAGATATCGATGCTAAAGAAGGTCTTTGTGGAATTGCCATGGAACCTTCTTACCCAACTGCATAATTAAAGTAAGTGGCAGAAGAGAAAAATAATATATAGGTCATTCTTGAAAATATAATCAAACACATTGTCCAAAAATTTAAGCATTTAGTATGCCACTATTTTATTCTGTGAAACTCTTGTACTGCTAGCTGTATGTATGTAAGTAAACTGTAATTTCTTGGAGAGTACTACTGAAATATGATTTTCAAATAAAAGGATAAGCAAATATAAAGAAAATGCATTAGACAAATTAAATTACTATTACATATAATTGAATAAAGGACCTAAAATTACGGCATTATCCAATCTCATTATTATCCTCTTAGCACTCATAGGGAAAATTTGTAACTAGTAGTAAAAGAAAATTAATATATTGGTAAAACTATAGTGAAGAATAAAAAATTTTTCTATCAATAAAGAAGTTTTCTTAACCATTGGATTTAGATGACTTTTATATGAACCATCGGATTTAATTATAATAAGAATACGGATTTGTAAATTAGGTCAATAATATATTAATAACTACGTGAAAGCTCGCGTATTGCACATATTGCTTCGTTATTATATAACGGATTTGTTAATCTAGGTCAATCAATACATATTAAATAACTAGTGAAAGCTCGCGTAATTTGCACAATATTGGCTTCGTTATATATACTATATTATATATATTATATATATACTATATATATATATACTATATATTAATAATATATATACAATTAAGAAATGAATTATTTATAGTACTTTCGCAGGAAAAGTTAAACATTTAACCTAAAAAACTTTTACAAATTTATTCAGCAATTAAATTTTTTTTAAAAATAAAATTTTTATTCCATGATATCTAGTTAATAGATTTTTTCTTTAACCTTATCCTAAATAACATTGATACATTTTGTCTTGAAAGGGTTAACAATTGCCTCAGTATTTAAATAAATAATAATACATAATAATATCGTATAATAATATATAAAAAATTACGTCGACTCTAAATAATAATTATAAAAAAATTAGTGACTTATCTTTTATTTAAAAAATAACTAAACAAAACATTTGATTTAAAAAATTATAAAATTTAGAAAATATTTGAATATATGATTATTTTGGTTAAAAAAAATTATTTTATTCTTTTTTTTAATTATTTCTTAATTGTATTTGATCTAAATGAAAATTTTCATTATTTTTAATTATATTTTGATTTAAATTAAAATTCTTTTAACTAATAAACTGACTTTTTTTTTTTGGTGCAGTTTAGAATGTAAATTGTACAAAAAGTTAATATTTAGACAAACTGAATATTATTCCCAAGTTTAGAGAGAAAATTGAGTTTTAGTCCAACTTACAAATAACCTAATATAAGATCTCTTGAGGTATAACTAATGTTAACAGAAGTTAAATATAGTCTCATCATCCTAAATTTAGGCTTCTGAGACACAATTTTCTATTTTATGCTTCCAAATCAAAAATTTTCCATTTCTTTTTCTTAATCTTTCAAGTGACGCATTGTCCAAATTGATTGTCAATCCATTGCAAATGATAATCACTTCATACTTAAATGTTAGATTTCACAATAGGGAACTTCTGGTTGGTATCTAGGTTGGACTTTGTATAATGCTCTCACTTTTATTCGTAAATTCACGTTATATGACATTCTAGATTTTAAATATTTCTAAGTTTTATACTTATATGCAACTATTTCAATGTAATCGGATTAGATGATATAGAATAAAATAAAATAAAATTATTATACCTTAGGTGTCACTTCCACGAAGAAAAATAAATTCATAATTCAGTTCGTTAGTAGGAATCTGCAGCCCATATTTCTTTGGGCTCTCTGTTCTATAAGACATTACAATATCAAGGAGAAGAAAAAAAAATACAAAAATAATCCAAAAAAAAAAAAAAGGAAAAACAAATTAGGAACATTTGCTCTATTTTCATTTTTGATTCAAAATCTTGGAAACACAAAATTATTTTATAAAAACCACAATTAAGATAGTTTTAATAGTCGTTTCACAATCAAATTGTACTTATAGCCAGAAATGCAGCTCAGAAGGAGAATTAAACCGTAATTTGCTTTTTCAAAGATCAATTTCACTCAAAATCAACAATTGGAATTTAAATATTTTAAAATTAAAGCATTTCACTCGTAATTTGCCTTAGGATATAATTTTTCTTTTCTTTTTTTTTTTCTTTTTTATCGTACATATATCAATGCTCAATTAAGACGGGGCTGGGTCATTGAATCGAACAGTGAACCCCTCCCTTCTTAGGCTAATATAATGATAAATTAGTGTGTTAAACATTGAAAATCTTTATATTTATTATATATATATTATATATATAATTATATATAAAAGTTGAGTTATATATAAGTGAGTTAAGCACTGAAGTTCGCCATAATTCAATTTAGGATATTCATTTCGATGTGACTCGATCCAAATCCATTAGATAAAACTTCATTTATAAATGGAGTGAGTTTGGATATCTACTAATTTGATCTAAGCCCATCTGAACTTGATCCGATTAATTTTTTTCTATATATAAAATTTTAATTTTTTCATTTTTAACAAACAAGTGTAAATATATAAATATATAAGGTTGCAAATATGAAATCATCAACGTAGAGACAGACTATTAAAAACTCAACTCCTTTCTTATTCACATAAAGTGATAGTTCTGATTGACTTCTAATAAAGCCATTTTTGCAAAAATACGAATCAATCTTGCTATTCTAGGCCCTTAGTGCTTGCTTTAGGCCATAGAAAGCTTTGTGAAGTCGATAGCATTTCTCTTTTTTTCCCTTTATAATATAGCCTTGAGGCTACTCTACATATACTTCTTCTTCAAGTTCTCCATTAAGGAAGGCTGACTTGACATCAAATTGAAAAACTTGTAATTCTAATTAAGCGGATAATGCAAGAACAAGCCGTATAGTCTCCATTCGAGCCACAGGAGCAAACGTTTCTGTGAAATCTACCCCAGGCTATTGTGAATAGCCTTTTCCTACAAGTCGGGCCTTGTGTTTTCGTATGCTACCATATTCATTATATTTGGTTTAATAGACCCATTTCAGTCCAATGGTACTTTTTCCTTTTAGAAGATCCACCAATTCCCAAGTTTGGTTTTTTTGAATTCTTGTTATTCCTTCATTCATGGCCTTTCTCCATACTTCTTCTTTTGCAGCTTCTTCTTAACTTTGTGGTTCACTAGTCAAGAAAGCAACATAAGAAGAGTTACAGATATCAGTCAAAGATTGATAATTTCTTAGTGGAGTCCCAATCTCAGCTATCATCTTGGATATTTGCATTTGATGTGCCACCCTGAGAATCTCCATTTGCATTCCTAGCTTCTTGGACAAAATCTTGCTAGCTTTTGGTTGGTTCAATAAATTCAAGTGTTGCTAGAGTTTGACTAGCATCTTCTTCCCATTTTTATACTGCCATTTCATAAAAAATAACATCTCTTGAGAGTAACAGCTGATTTGTTTGAGGATTGAAAAGTCGATAGCCTTTAGATTCATCAATATAACCAAATGAAAATACATTTTTCTCCTTTTCCATCATACTTCTCTTTATTTTGAGAAGTATTAAGAGCATAAGCAATGCACCCAAAAACTTTCAACCGATTAACCATGAGTTTACGACTATGCCAAGCTTCAAATGGAGTTTTATTGCAAACCGCCTTTGTTGGTGAGCGGTTTAAAATATAAACTGTTGTATTCATAGCTTCAGCCCATAAGTTATTTGGAAGTCCTTTACCTTTCATCATGCTCCAGGCTATCTCCACAATAAGGCGATTTTTTCGTTCTGCCACTCCGTTTTGTTGAGGGCTTTGTCTTATTGTCGATTGCCTTTGAATTCCATTTTCTGTGCAATAATCAAGGAAAGACTTGTATAGAAATTCTCCTTCACGATCAGTCCTGAGTGTCTTCATTTGATATCCACTTTGTTTTTCTACAAGAGCTTTAAAATTCAAAAACATGGAGAAAGCATCTGATTTTTTGTCTAGAAAATAAATCCAAATCATTCTTGTATAATCATCAACAAATAACAAGAAATATCTTTTGTTACTCAAGGATGGAGTTTGAGTAGGTCCACAAATGTCTACATGAACCAGTTCTAGTGGTGCACTTGCTCTCCAAGAAGTTTTCAGAAATGACAGCCAGTGCATCTTTTCATATATACATCCTTCACAAAATTTCAGTCTTACTTTGAATTGATGGAAGTCCAATCACCATATTCTTGCTTTTTAACAGCTGAAATCCATTAAAGTTCAAGTGGCCATATCTCAAATGCCATAATTGAGATTCATCAACAGGCTCACTCTTTAATGCAACATTCGATAGAGTTTGCATTCTCAAGGGAAAAATGTTATTAGGAGCCATTTTCACCACAACAACATTTTGATTAGCTTTTTTATCATAAATTTCACATCTATCGTCATCAAAAATTAGTTTATGTCCTCTTCTCAACATTTGTCCAACACTTAAAAGGTTTTGATTAATGCTAGGTGAATATAAAACATCATGAATGTGTTTTTCATTACCTTATTTGGTGTGGACTGCAATGTCACCTCTTCCTTCAATCTTGACGTTCTTGCTGTCACCAAGTTTCACTTCAGTTGAGAAATTTTTATCAAACTCCACAAAAGATTCTCGATTGCCTGTTATATGATGACTGCAAGCACTATCTACATACCATACATCATTGTTTTTGTGCTCAGCTTTCATACAAAGTATAGAATAGCTACTAGTTGTCTTCTTTTAAAAAATTTGCTGCTTGTTTGTCTCCACTGCTTTCTCCTTTGTTATTGAACCAACAATCCCTTTCGGAGTGATGAGAAATTTTACATCTAGTGCACCTGTATCTGCAATCTTTAGATTCATGATTTGTCCTCTTGCAAATGATGCAATAAGGAGAATTGTTGTATCTTTGCTGTTGCGAATTTGATCTTCCTCAGCTATTGCTTTTGCCTTTGCCTCTATTTTGATTTAGACCTCCTCGTCCTCGGCCATATGATTCTCTTTTCTAAAATGAGTTTCTTCTTTGATCTTGCTCTGTATTGAATGTCTTATTGGACAAGTTTATTTTTTCTTGAAAGGCCTGTTCCAATGGTTGTGTATTGTACTTGCTCACTCTTTGCTCATGTGCTTCTAAAGAATCCATCAACTCACTAATAGTGAGTCTTGATAGGTCTTTTGTTTCTTCAATAATAGCAACTATGTGCTCAAATTCTCCG